CCAACCCTTTGCCCAGGAGCAAAGTCAACAGAACAGCCCCATGTGCTTATGTCTCAGCCGCTCCAGCCTTTCAGCATGAGCTGCAGATCCACACAAAAGGGCAGCACGGGGACATGCTCCATTCTTCTGTCTTTGCTCCACTATGGGGGTGAGAAACCTGTGACTGGAGCACCTTTCACTGTCACAGCTGCTCACTCAAGTGAACTAAGTAGGAGCCAAATTTTCCCATTTTTTTGTTAATTTTGAAGCAAGCTGCTGACAGCGAGCAAAGGACCGGCAACATGGTGGCATGGAGCCAGCTGAGGCATAAATCTTGTGTGCATCACAGACAAATGGAGAGAGTAATTTGGGGAGCTCTCTCTACATGTTTTTAGTAATTGCTGTGGTCTGGACATAATTTGGCCAACCTCGTTTTTAAACAAAATGTTTTATAAACTGGGTGATAGCCCTATCCAGAAAAGGAGCCAATAAAATACAGCTTAAGATGGTCTCCTGTTCACAGGCAATTGCTGGAAGGATCAGCCCCTGGTGCTTAGCTTTGCAATTAGCCCAGCTGTATGTTTGATTTTCCAGTTTTGCTTAAACTTAGGCCTCAAAATTGACCAAAATGAAGTCAAGTCAATCTCACGTCAGTCACCCACTCATTACCAACAGCAGCAGTTAGGCACCCTTTTGCTGTACCAGGCACACAGGTGTGAGAAGCAGTTAGGGTGCCTCTGCCTTGCTGCTATGAAAGCTTCAAACATGTAAGTCTCAGTGTCTAAATAAAGACCAGTTTTAGGCCATTTAATTGCACTCATAATCCCTAAAAATGCTTTCTAAAAGATTACTAAACCCAAGTCTGTTCTCTGCCTGACAGGACTCAGAAAAATTCTTGATGAGGATGATTTGCCCATGAAGGGCACTAAGGACTCCAGGTGCAACTTGCAGAGAGAGGTCACGTCTTACCTACTAGTGCTGTTAATAACCATGGCTTTATGCTAATAATGGCACCTCCAGACCTCTCCATACATGCTCTGTTCATCTCCAGATTGAGTTCCAGCTCCTGTTGAGCTCTGTTCCCCTCCCATCATGTTCCTTTGTTCTCTGTTCCCCTTCAGTCCCCCCTCTGCATGCTCCACTGTGTTCCAGTACTTGTGTTTGCACACTTACCCCTTGCGTCCCCCTCTGTTCTCACTATGTTCCCCTCTAGAACCCCTCTATCAGTGCTCTTTTCCACTCCCTTCCCCTCCAGCCAAGTTCTGTTCCCTGCCAGTCCCCTCAGTTCATGCATCTTTCACCATCTCACAAGTAGAGAAAGATGGGCTCTGCACCTTGCAGCCATCCCAGGCAACCCAATGTCTTGCTGTCCAAAAACCTGATCAGAGATGGAGGGAAACCAGGAACATAGAAGAGTGGGGTTTGTTGTAACCCTAAGGCCCAGCTGCCTTCTCTGGGTGCCCAGGTGTCCGATCCCCACCTTTTTCTCTCTGAGCCCCTTTGCCCCCCTATGCTCACACCACCAGAACTCAAACCTCCAGGGTCTTGCACCCCTGCTCTAACCCTATACCCTACTGCTGTCCTTGGGCTTCAGGAATGCAGGTGTTCAGGCTCTCCCCACTCTTTGAACAGAGGACAGGAGGGAGGCAGCAGCCAGGGCAAGTGGTGTCTCAGTGCGATCCGTCCCAAAAAGCTTTCTTACCCCCGTTACCCTGGCCTATGGGGCCACAGGCTGGCCAATGGAGAGAGCAAAAGCCAGATGTCTAGAGGGCAGGCAGAGCAGGGGATGGCTGGGACCTCAGAAGTTCAGGGGTGCCATCTGCCTGGCTGCGGAGAACTGAGGGTTTCCAGCTAGTGAACTTGTGTGGAAGGTTAGGTATGAGAATCTGCAAAACTGGCCAGGACACTTGAGAGCTCTTCTCTTCTGGTTAGAGACGTGATGCGCAGGAAAGGAAGTGGGCCTGGGTCTGTCTCCAAGGCAGGAGTTACAAAGTGAGTCTGAGGAACAAACCAGCTTGGGGACCCAGTGCCTTTAATCTTGGCTTGCTGAGGGCTTTTGTATGCCTTGGAGACACTGACTCACTATCCAGGATCAAGGAACAGAGAGCAGCGTGGGAAAGGTTAGGGAACCAGACTCTTACAGGGTCTTGTCTCGGAACTGAACTGAAACCAAGACAAATGACAACACAGGATTGCTTGTGCAGGGCTCTGTGAAGACCGGTTCCTGAGAGGTTTACACTGTTGCATGCATTAGAAATTTGGAGGGAGAGAGGAACTGGCCTACTGGCATCCTCATGGTTTGTAAACTTATTTGGATTTGCAGGAAGATGGGCACAGCTCTTTGAGGAAGGGGGAACTTTATAGAAGGAGAGTCTCTAAGGAAAGGTTTGTGCTCTTGAGGGAGCTGAAGTACTTCTGCAACTCCTCTCTAGCCTGCAATGTCATTTTCCACAGCTGCCAAGCCACAGCCTGATGTGGTGCTACCACAAGACCTGGGGTATGGGCTGGGGTTCCCATCTGCTTGTGAGGAGATTCCTTGATCCGCCTCACCCTTGTTCTGATGTGCGATGATTCACCTTTTCTGCCCTGGTGACACTACCAAACATCCTGAAGGAATGCTCCCTCTCTCTCTCAGTCAGGGCACCTTCCAGGAGGCTTTGGGACAAGGACAGGGACAACTACTTTGGGTGCTGCTGCTTTAGGCCCTAGCAGAGCGTCAGCTGGTCCTTTGAGGCCTCACCTCTCCCTGCAGCTGGGACATTACACTTCACTTCTCTGTGCTTTCTTCCCCTCCATTCCCTTCCATGGACACTGCTCCTCTTCCCTCCCCTGCATGCACACTCTTATTTCCATTTATTCCCCTCTACGCACACCCTGTTCCTCTCCACTCCTCTCATGCATTTTTCCCCTCCAATCTCCTCTGTGCCCACGCTGTTTCCCCCCATTATATTACAGACCCGAAACTGTTGCTCAGTAGAGGGGGATAATCATTGCCCTTCATCTACTTACTGGCTACGCTCCTGCTAACATAGCTCAGGACACTGTCCTGCTGCCTTTGCTGCTGAAGCACGCTGCTCCCTGGCATCCAACTTGATGCCTACCTAGACTTCCAGATCTTTTTAAGCAGAGCTTCCCCCAACCGGTCAGCTCCAGCCTGGGTACACAGCTTTGTATTTGTCCCTGTTGAATTCTGTAAGGTTTCCGTTGGCCCATTCCGCCAGCCCGCCTCACACCTCTGAAAGGCAGCCCTGCCTTCAAGCATGTCAGCTGTTTCCCCCCATTTGGTGTGATCTGCAAACCTGCCAAGAGTGCACTCCATGGCCTCCTTGCAGGTCACTGATAAAGATGTGGAACAAGACAGGTCCCAGGATAGACTTCTGCAGTACCCTACTTATGACCTACTACCTTCTGAGCCAAATCATCCAACCATTCTTTTTTACCCATCTGGTTGTCCATCCATCCAGAATGTCTATCCGCATTCAAGAAAGCTGGTGGAGACGATGTTGAGAGCATTGCTGAAGTTGAGGTAAGTGAGAAAAGCCACCTTTGTTCATACTCTACTCCCCTCCTGTCACTAAATGATTATTTGTCTTCTGTTTCCATCCACTCCCCGCTATTCCCAATCTCATCTCTGCCAGATCCCTCTGATGGGAGCTCTCTTCCTCTCCTGCTCCCTCCATTTGGGCTTTTCCTCTCCCTTCATATTCTCATTCTGTCGAGTGTTCTCTGCTGAAAATGTATTTAGCTACAACCCCTCTGTGTATGCCCTCTCCCACTGTGCCTCACTATTCCCGTTCTTTTCCCCTCCAGTGTCCTGCATTGTTGGCTTTGTTCCCACCAGACGGTTCCTTTCCATTCCCCTCTGTACATACTCTGTTCCCCTCTGGTTCCCTCCATTTCTGTTTCCATTTCCATTCCCCTCTGGGCCCCTCCATTTGCAGTCTGTTGCCCTCCAGTCACCACCATTCATACTCTGCTCCCTCCCAGTTGACCGCTTTCACCCTGCATCTAGGCAGAAGGCTCTGAGCTGGCCATAAGCCTCCGAAAGACTCCCAACTATGTAAAATTCACAGCCCTCTGAGTGCTGCTAGTAAAACTACAGATCAGCTCCATATATTTACATATAGACGGTTATCTCAGTTCCCTCCAGGTTGAATAAGGCTCTCAGGATGCATAAGACAAAATACTGCTGAAGGCGGTTATCAAACTTTGCTTAGAAAAGCAAAAAGAAGGTGTTTAACACAGTAACACCTATTATTTTTCTAGGTTAGTGATATATCATCCTAATGTCCAGTGACACCAAAATGACCGGCACAGCCATGGCTGCTCTGTCACTGAAGTAGGAGTAGAAAGGATAAACAGGGCACATGGGAATAGAGCAGGAAAGGAAGGGGGTGAAGAACAGAAGCAGAGCTGCTATTTAATAGGGGAAGGCACTTAACACATCAAAGAGCTGGAATATTACAGTATGTACCAGAAAACTGGGACATCTTTGCCCAGGTTTAACAGAGCTCCTAAAATACCTACAGGTGCTGCCAGAGAGGATAAAGGACAACTTTTCTTCTGCAGTTCAGTGACTCATTTCCCAAATGCAGGCTCCTGTTGCCAGAGCCTACTTTGTAATTTTTGTGTTCTCAGTAAGACACTGGGATATTTTCATCCCTCCAAGGGCTGTGCTCCCATCAATCAGATTTCTAGCACCAAATTCCTCCTTTGCTGAACTTCTTCCTCCCTATTTCTTGCTACCACATCCCTTCCTTCAATCTCCATGACAAGCCATTCCT